GGGTCCCTCGCTTCAGGTCACGCAAGCGCTTGCAATGCCAAGCCCCCGGCGGCTTTGCTGTGGTGCGACCTGTGCGCGCTGACCAAAAGCATCGAAGTCAGAGAGACTGCGGGCACTCAACTGAGCAGACCCCATTGAGACTCGATTGATGGACCAGACTTGGTGTAGATGCCATTGTGATCCATTGTGTGTGTGTGCCTATCATCGGCTTCCGCAGCTGCGCATAAGAACCCTCATGTCCAGGTGAGGTTCCAAAGGCAATGTCCTCAGCTGACACGGCAGCAGTCGATCGGAGTCGACCAGAGGCCTTGAATTTGTGGATCCAGTACCATCGGCTCAAGCGGATTCTCACGCCAGGACAACCTCTTCGGAGATTGGGCGTGCATGAGGACGAGCCGAAGCTGCTGACCTAGAGTGAGGGGATTAAACCTGGCCCATCCAATGGGGGTTCCAAGTAAGTAAGCAGCAAGTAAGTTGGCGACAGCCCCAAGCATTCCCAAGTCCAAATCAGCACGAGACATTGTGCACATCCTTGGGTCACCGTCACCAACGATCATTGTGCATTCCCAAGCGAGATTGAAAGCTCGGTTCAAGGGAGATTAGAAGATCATCCTGGTCAGTTCACTGGACTTCTTGTGAGACCGCTGGATGAAATCTGACATGGCATGCACTCATGCACCAACTTGTGATATCCAAACTCCCAGAGATCTTTGGAGACTCTCAGAGCACCTGAACTTCATAGACTCTTAGAGCAGCTGAGAGGGAAGCAGCTGGTGTATGCAACTTCAAGGTCTTTGTCCCACTCGCATGCTACCCTCCCCGCACAGGACGGTTCTCCAAGAAGGCCAAGGATTTGGTTGCCTCACCGAGGGCAGCGAGGCACCGCGGAGGGCGGGGCCGGCCTCGAGCTGACCAGCGGGTCCACCGGGTCGGACTGCAACAGGAAGATCAAGTGCATACAGATGTGTGGAGTATAGTGAGGTTAACTGTCCAAATCCTTAGCCGCAACAATGCAGCGAACGGCATCAAGGAACAGGGTTTTCTATGTTTTTTTTGGATCTTACATGCCACTTGGTTTGGTTTTCTATGGTTTTGGGTTTGTGGTTTTCTATGGTGTTTGGCTCGATCTCAAGTGAAATCACTTACTTTCTAAACTCTCATGAGACGCGAAAAAAGCTCAGCTTCAGCCTGCAAACGGAACAAGACTGGTTAGGGTGTCGGCTTACATCGCTCATCCTGCCCGCGGGTGTGCCCAAGCCGGTTTTGCGCATGCGGCAGGTGGAACTCTCCATTCGAGCGGAGGCCGAGGCGAAGCCATTTGAGAAGGTTTGCCGTTTGAATTGAAACATATTCATAATTATATATGTAAGTATATTAATATATATATATATTACATTGAACAGGATTGTCCAGCTATGTACTTTGTATATATTTTCTATATATACATATGCAAAATACTTACCTGCCATGGACATACCTGGACTTTGCTAGGGTCAGAATATAATTAGTTATGAATTATGAATAGTGTATAAATTGTATATGTATATGTATGTATGTATGTTACTTGTACAGTTGTCAGCAGACATTGAGTGTTTTGTCACTGACTACCCCTTGGCTCCACACTGTTGCCCTCAAGAAGGGAAGCACTGAACAAACGCTTCTCATGACGGGCTTCTCCCAAACGCCGTCGGATGGATCTTCCAACAGAGGTGGGTCAGAACCCCAAAGGCCCAACAGGTACCTCAGCCGTGGATGCTAGTTTAGGTCGCTTCACACCTCCACACGGCTCCGCGTGCTCCCGCGCCCAGGACGGACGGACCCTCGAGGAGCGACGTGGGACACCCTACACCATTGGCTCGGGCACGTGCGCGGACCCAGACCGTGGGAAGTGGGAGACGGCCACGTCGGGAGCTTTGAATCGTTTTGTTGCTTTGTGAAAGCTTCATCATGGGGTGCCCTATTGTCCCTACTATATATAGGGATATGTTGTGTTTTTGTGATGTTTGTTCAGTCACTGTCCTGAGGTTTTTGGTGATATTTTGTTTGGAGGAATTAAGACGGAATTACTATAAGAGACTATCAGAGACTGGGACATATATTTCGGACCCTTCTTGTAGGGAACGGGTCCAAAAGAATCTCGTATTGCGGGTGAAACGTCCCTCATTCCCTACGAGTCCTACGTGTCCTGCTATATATTATTTGTGGGGCGGGGAGTTTCCCAAGACTTTTGGGCGGTACTTTGGTTCCATCCATCGATCAGCTCACATGATTGGTCACTATTTGACCAAGGGTTTGCCTTGCTAGCATCACTTTGGCACGGTACATGCTGCTGGCAGACGTCCCAGTTGATCCCTGCAGAGCCTCTTGCATCCATGCATCCTTTCATTTGCATCATGCAATGTTTA